GTGGCTGACCTGCTGGGCAGTGTTATCTTTGTCTACAGCTTTTTGGACTTCCATGTTTTCCACAGGAAGGACAGCCCCAATGTTTTTCTCTTCAAGCTGGGTGGAGTCACGGCATCGTTCACAGCGTCAGTGGGGAGCCTTTTCCTCACTGCTATTGACCGCTACATCTCAATTCACCGGCCTCTCGCCTACAGGCGCATTGTGACACGGACCAAGGCTGTCATAGCCTTCTGTATGATGTGGACAATCTCCATCGTCATCGCAGTGCTACCTCTGCTGGGCTGGAACTGTAAGCGTCTCAATTCTGTTTGCTCAGACATATTCCCCCTCATCGATGAGAACTACCTGATGTTCTGGATCGGTGTAACCAGCGTGCTGCTTATTTTCATTATCTACGCCTACATATATATCCTGTGGAAAGCTCACCACCATGCTGTCCGCATGCTGAGCCGCGCCTCCCAGAAGAGCCTTGTTGTCTATTCAGCAGATGGGACCAAAGTGCAGACCACACGCCCTGATCAGGCACGCATGGACATCCGTCTGGCCAAGACCCTGGTGCTTATCCTGGTGGTGCTGGTAATCTGCTGGGGCCCATTGCTTGCCATCATGGTCTATGACCTCTTCTGGAGGATGGACGATGACATCAAGACAGTGTTTGCATTTTGCAGCATGCTCTGCCTGCTCAACTCCACTGTCAACCCAATCATCTACGCCTTGAGGAGCAAGGACCTGAGGCATGCTTTCCTCAGCTCTTGCAATGCCTGCAGGGGCAGTGGCCAGCAGTTGGACAATAGCCTCGAGTCAGACTGCCAGAACAGAAATACCCACATTTCTGCCAACAGGGCTGCAGAGAGTTGCGTGAAGACCACTGTGAAAATAGCCAAAGTAACAATGTCTGTATCAACTGAAACTTCTGCAGAAGCTGTCTAATTGGCCATGACGGGGAAAACTGTGTAAATGTCATCTCTCCCCTCACCAAACAATGCCATTCCACAACGTAAAGCAGAGGTTAGGCATTCATCTCCCGAAAATTCCGACTTACATCCTCACGTAGATGCTTTAGTGGTTGCATAATTTACGTTTGTGTATGAGTACATAGTGTGCCAAAGTGCCAAATGGTATTGCAAGGTCATGTAAAGGACTCATATAACTGGAAGGGGTCATTAAAGACTATCATAAGTCTGCTGTTTACCAGAGACGTCATGATATCCAATTAGTGAAGGCATATTATATTTTTGTACTGTGAATTCAGGTTTTGAAAACAATATTTCATTTATGGGATAAGGGGCTACTGACATTTTTAAGTAGAGATGTTTTACTGTGTCATTTAGACTTTAACATGTCTTGCACCATAAAAGTATGAAATCCTCGCATCTTGACTTTCTACAGGCTTCATGTACATGTTGCATATCGACATTTCTATAAGCAAATAGAAGGAAAAAATTGATGCAAACTGTCTTTGCCATATAACATGTTACTTTTGTACTTCTGACAACACTCAGTGAGTGGCAAACGTGTGAGGAGATTTTTGAGAAATCAAAGGTGGTTTGTGTTCCAAGACAGAAAACATTATCGCCATGATGAAGCAAACTCTAAGGCAAATAGATTCACAGCTTTTGGCATCGTGAAATCTGAAATGGCATCTTCTGCGGGAGAGTGACTGTCCCCGATATCTGTTTCTTTACTCGCTGGCTGTTACACCCTCAGAGTAACGTGTCTTTGTTCCGATGTATACCTAACAACTGTACAGTGTTTTCTTGCAAAATAAAGTGTTCAGATCGACACATTCAACTACAAAGCCGAGACAACAATAACAAAAAAACTTTTGTTCGAGGCTTGAACAGCTCAAAAACTGAATTTGGACGCAGTGTGCTGGTCACTACTGTAAAAAACTGACTCTAGCTGCTTTCATCAAATGTATGATTTTACTGGATTCAGCCTTGTACGTGTGTGATACCTTGTGACTTGGTGATATGTTTCCAGTCCTGAGCCTTTTGATCATTGCAGTGAGGTGTTTTAGTGCTACTGTTGCAGCGGGGCATCATGTTGGAAAATAACCCATGCACGGGGCTAGTGAAGTAGTTTTGGCGTAACTCTACATTTAAAAAAAAAAAAGAAGTCTACTTTTATTTTATGTATGAAAACAAAGAAACTAAGGTCTTTTCATTAGATGGTACTTTGAATGAGAGTTTTTGTGTATGCGTTCCGTAGAGCATTGACAACTGACCTTACAAAAGAAGCTCAGAAGATGTGATTTTTCTAATAGGTGATGTAGTACTTTTAATCTAGAAATCTCACAGCACAATTGTTCTGTAGACATTTATCTCGGTGTAAACTTATCCAGACAGCTGTTTATCAGTATGCTTTGCTGCCTCTTGTAATTTTGAGTATTGAAGATCAAAATGTCAACTGTCAAGTGGCTTCTGTACATTGGTGGCATAATGAGGAATCTATGACTTTAAAAATCCCAATCAGTCAAGTGTTTTTAGTATTGCTGTTCTCAAACTTTTGAATAAAGTCGCAGCTGGTGGTCACTTTGCCTGCAGTTTGTTTGTTTGATTGATTAATTAATGATGAAAAACAGCACGTTTTTGCCTAATCTATCCACTCAGTTGAGAGGGACCAGACGCTAAGAAAGCACAGCTCTGAGCTCCTGAGCATCTGCGATGCTTCAGTGCCCCCTTGTGGAAGAATCTAATCAGCCTTTTTTAATAAAGAGGACATTCCTCCTGTTGGATTTAGCTTTGTTACGGTTACTTATCACAGCCCTAAAAGTGACAAATTGCAAATCACTGGCTGCAAATCATCTCCTGACAGCAACATCTGCTCTGATCTTTTTATCTCTTGGCTTACATGAAGAGGCAAATTGAAACATCTGTTCTCACAGCTGTCCTTGGGATTTTGTTTAATGCAGATGCTTCAGTCTTCAAAAGAAAAAAAAGCCACGAGGCAGCATACATGAACAGGTCTCTCAGTAGTCAGCATGGTGATTCAACGGTTGGCACTTCTGTTTCACAGCACACAGGTCCAAACCAAAGCAGGACCCTGGTACTGATGTGGGTGAATGAGATTCTTAAAAGTTTGACTTCCTGTTTAAATAAAAGTTAATAACCCTGTCAAAAAACAATAGCCTTTATTCTAATTACATTTTTCTCCTTTTTACATATTAGGTCGCTGATTATGCAACAAGTCATACAAGACTAGTGAAAATAGGTCTTTTCTACACCCTTTAGCACTAATATCAGTCTTAAATCAGAATAATAATAGTTTATTGAGCCGCAAAGCAGCATAGTGACACAAAGAAGAAGTGGTGAAATAAACAAAGCTAGCATATCCTGTTGTACAGTTCAAACATAGCATATGTGTACAGAGGTTGCTGAGGAAGTGATGGATGGGAAATGTCTTCAGTGTATCTGTGCAAGAGGTTGAGGGTTATTTCAAAACTCAACCCGCATCTCTGAGAGACAGACTTTTGCAATCTGATTGTTAGAAAGGAAAATACCACATTTTGTAATAATTGTTTTAGAATTTTTATTATTCTTAATATTATTCTTTGCATCAAACAACACAAGGCTGAAGCAAAGAGAACACAACTCTTTGTGTTATTAAACAAAAAAAGACTAAATCAAAGTGCCACACCCAAGCTTTAAAGTGAGTCCTACAGGGTATCAAAGGTAGAACAGTTCTCGGCTTTAACATTTGCGGAGCATTTTATGGCTTCTATATATTCTCAGTAATAAGGAATGAGAAGAATTCAATTTGTACTTGGGAGTTTGGTTTTTAGCAAGCAGCAAGCTGTCTGATATTATATCCGGCATAAAACACATATCCTAAAGTACCTTATTAACCTAACAGAGCACTTTGCTCACTTTTCTTCCCTAGAGTTTCTAAAAGTAGAATGAGAGGCAGAGCCTTCAGTTATCAGGCCCTCTTCTGTGGGAACCAGCTTGAGTTTGGATTCAGGAAGTCTTTTTAAAAACTAAACTGAAAACTTTCCGTTTTGATGAAGCTCATAGTTAGGGCTGGATGAGGCGACAGTAAATGATCCCTTATTTTAAACTGGTGCTGGGCTTCTTTTGATGCACTCATTTCTTTTTCATTTACCTCTTTTCACTCCCTGTGGATTCATACATCACAACTGCATTTAATCACTAATAATGATCAAACTCTACTTTCACCCATTGTTTGGATTTAGTCTTTTCCCTTACCCCCAACCAGCTGAAACAGATTCCTGCCAAACTCCTTAGAGATTATTAAAGTGTTCTGATTCTGATGATTCTGTTGGAGGCTTTCTTCGTGTTTTTTTCTTCCCACTGTCACTAAGTGTTTGCTCACTTCTGGTTGTTGAGTTTTCTCTCTAACATTTAAGTAACTTTACCTTACAGTATAAATTGCCTTGGGGGTGACTGCTGTTGTGATTTGGAGCTATACAACAAAATAAAATTGAATTGGGAGAGACCTTAGGATTAATTTAAACAGAAGCTTTTCTTCATTGGTTAGTAATGAGACAAGACGACACTTCTTTTTCTGAGGCACATTCTAAAGTACATAATTTAAACGGGATTATGTATGGACGACAAACAACACATAGAGAACATAGAGAAATCGGAGTTCTTCACCATTTAAGTAGCTGAATTTTAACTACTTTAAATATTGTTATTAGCCAGTTAATTATGTTAGGCAAGCTAGTGATGATTTCGGTCAATATTCCTCACACATCTACGATTTAATGCTTTAAAATGTGTACTTTGAATGGTTTCTTCTAGAAAACAACTCGTAAATGTCAAGTCTTTTGCACAAATACTTTTTAAAATGTATTTGATATCATATCCTAAGGTTTTACACGAAACTGAAACTTCGCGTGGATTTGGTACGTTTTATGAACAAACAAAAACAAATTTAAAAAGAGTGCGTTTTCTGTGTTTTCGGGAAATGTAGTTTTCAAAATGTACAACCAAACGGATGCGAATGTGTCTAGAAACTACAATTACCTGCAAGAGCGTGTCTTCTTGCACATGCGCATTACCAAACAAACGCAAACTAATAAAAGGTAGGGTTGCCCAAACCGTTGTAGTCGGTTCTCTCAGCTAATGTGGTAAAATCTGTAATCATCTGATTTAATGCGACGTTTTCGCTACGTTATTTTATCCTGGTCACGGTAAAATATATTCGTTAACGTGAACGTTGTGAGATTTATCAGTGGAAGACAACGGGAGACGAAAAAAATCCGTATTTGTCTGCAGCCCGGAAAGGCTTCTACCGATCGACTTAGCTAACACTAGCTAGCAAAAGCGGTACATACCCGGGCCCAGGCCGGCGGCTTTCTCGGATACCAAGGAATTTTGAAGTTTCCTGGCTTTAAATATTTAACATATTTAAGCGCGATGGCTTGTGGAGCGACTCTAAAAAGGAGTTTGGACTTTGATCCGTTAATGAGCCCTGCTTCCCCCAAAAGAAGGAGGTGCGCCCCGGTTATGTCTCCGGTGTCTTCACCGCAGAAATATCTGCGCATGGAGCCATCGCCTTTCGGGGAAGTGTCGTCCAGACTCACCACGGGTAAGAAATGATGTCTATGTTTGATTTCACGGCCCTCTAGTTTTATATATTTATACCACGCCATATTAACAAGTATTTCCAGTGGCGTACATGATGTAACGCTCCAAACACGATTGTGTAAAGTTAAGACAAGCATTGTTATATTTAGCGCAGCATGTGGTGGTAATTTTGTTATAAATTCAACTTCCATCGAACTTTTATGGCTTTATGAAGAAACATTGTTTGGTATTAATGTGTGTGTGTGTGGGGGGGGGATAGTAAAAGAATAATCTCTTACAGTTTAACTGATTGATTTAATGTATTTGTCTACAGTAGGGATATACATTAAAATAATGCCAAGGCAATACTTAATGATCATATCTGAATACTGCAGCGACTGTCTCCATACAATCACAGCACCTCTATGTAAAGATCTCATTTAATGCTGCTTCTGTCTTTTTCAGAGCAAATTCTACACAACATTAAACAGGAGTACAAGAGGTTTCAGAAACGGCGACACCTGGACAGTGCTTTCCAGCAGGCTGAAGGCTGTCCTCTGGACCTGCAGAACATTCCCGGTGGATCTGCCTTACCAGGTAGCTATACCTGGGTTGTTTTTGAATAGGCTTGTTTTGCTGTAATCCATCAACTTCCTGTTTGAGATCAAGGTTTAAAGGGTAATATAAATATTTAAGTCAGTTGCATGAAGTGTGGATGAGCTTATTGTGAGGGATTGTTTTGGGTTACAAGTCTGATTTTTCTAATTTTTCACACTAAATCATCAGTTTTCTTTTACTGCTTTGTTTTTTTTTTATAACATTACTTGCTTGCTGGGAAATCCTGCTGCCTAAGGCAACTCCACAAAAAAAAGGCAGAGGGAGAACAGATGACATTCCTTCCTTATCCTTTCGCTTTCTTTTCATTGTGAGGTGTGTTTTGTTTTGGGTTTTTTTGTAATTCTCCCAGATGGGAGTGTACAGCAGACATTGGAGTCTACAGATGGTAGAGGCCCTCTGGGTCTTAAAATTACAGTTGACTTAAAGCGTATTTGCTGTACTAATACTTAACTGCAGTCAACAGTGGTGTTAAGTCTAAAAATAAGTGTCAGTGGCACATTTGCGTGACACTACTACCATACATCAGGGTATTATGTCATCAGACAGTTCTTTATTTGAACTGTTCAGCCTCACTAAAACATTCATCAAGACGTGTGATAATTGTGTTTAGTGTTGTTTTACTGGTAACATAAATGGCCTTTTATTCTACCAATAACAGTAACAGAAATATACATCTTGGTTGAAGGTTGGGATGTTAAAAAAAAAAAAAAAAATAGACAATCACAATTGGTGTATCACAGTTAATTTTCTTTTATATGCTTAAAATGAGTGACAGAACCCATAAACTCACCAAAACAGTGTTTACATAGGAATGTTTGGGGGGGGGACAGATCATAAAGTGAAAACCAGATGTGTTTTAGAGTAAGATTAAAACCTGACAGCAAAGCATATGCACTTGTTTTTTGTTTTTTTGTTTTGTTTTGTTTTTAAAACAAGATCTAGGGCAGATGAGGTGTTTTAAACTGTATAATTACAGTATGAGGCTCAGGTTAATGTATTCGACTTGACAGCAGGCTTGTTTTGACTATATTTTAGTTTTTCTCATCAGTTTTAAGTTACTTTGTTACAACCCACTTTTCTGTTAGCGATTTTTGGTTGCTAGCTATTATCACACAGATTTAAAACAAACTTATAGAAAAACATGCTGGAATAAAACTATTGTGTTGCTCTGGTGTGTTTAACGACAAGAACCTGCAGCCTGCTCGTCTCCTACTTTCCTGAGTGTAGAGAAAAGCACCACGAAATAAATAAATAAATAAATATTTATATATATATAGAGATATAGATATGGATATAGAGATATGGATATAGAGATATAGATATATAGAGAGAGATATAGATAGAGAGATATAGATATTAAAAAAACCCAGAAGCATCACTGTTTGGAAAAAGCAGTACGTTCACTTGACTGTTTTATGCTTACTGCACTGCCACACTTGAAGTAGTCCACTGGTGCAGCTTTCATACTCTTGTCATTAGCTGGTCTCATAGCCCACCATGAAATAGTCTACTTCCAAAAGGCATTTGCAGTAATGGTTCATGATTATGGACACAGTGACTCTTCTTTTTCCCCCCTTAACTCGGCACAATTTTGTTAAGTAATAGGAAATATCTTTGGCCAGAATCTTCAGTGGGGAGGTGTCACCATGGCAACCAGGAAAAACAAGCTTAAAAAGGGCATTATTTTGTTCCCCCAGCAGTTGTTTTCATGAAGATAATCAAGTTTGTTTGTTTTTCCTTTGCCTAAACCAAGTCATTTTAATGTTAATTAATATAATAATGTATTATAAACCTGTCATCTGTCTGGTGTGACTCAAAGTGTGGCCTCTGGTGTCAGCAGAGAAATGGTTTACTCTTCCACAAAGCGTGCCAGCCTCCAAGTGTGGACGTTTAAAAAGTGGAAAAATATTAATATATATTAATTTTGTGTGGCACTAGTCAATAGATTAGGGGTTGTGACTGTTTCACTAACTGCCGAGCGACTGCGTTGCATTAATTATGAACGTGTAGGCAATCTTTCACTGTCTGTGACACAGCCTCTCAGCCGAGTGTCTATTCACACAGTGAGGGCACGATTGATGCAGCACATTGCTGCCACCATGCTCACACTGTTCTGGAGTGGTTCTAAAATGTACAAGCACAACACATTGCAGCTTGTTAGCCTAAACTCTATTGTTAGAAACAAAAATTAGAAAAATAATGTCGGCATGACTTGAGACTTGTAGGCCGTTTTGCTGGCAGCAGAAATGCCTGATTCGTGGTGCAGCGGTATCAAAATAAGGCAAGACTGACTGTGCTTCCTTTGATTTGTTTGAAGCAGGGCTTTGATTTGTTAGCATGAAGCTGGCAATTTTTTATTTCTTTGTTGCTGCAGGCTGATTCTCTGGGCTATATTTTGCCTGTAGTGTTGTTGTTGTTTTTGTTTTGTTTTTTGATACATATAACTTACATGTGAATTACTGACTCTTTCAACAGGTACATCCTCAGGTGCTTCATCTCCTGCCAGGAAAGAACAGCCTTTGTTTTCCCTCAGACAAGTTGGGATGATCTGCGAAAGACTACTGAAGGAGCGAGAGGACAAAATCCGTGAGGAGTATGACGAGATTCTGACGACAAAGCTTGCAGGTATAGTTTTTTTTTTTTTTTAAATTTATTTGTAATTTTATGTTCACTTGCAAGTAATCCAAACTGAGTTTTTTTTTTTTTTAAATATTTAATTTATTCCACCAGAGCAATATGACGCCTTTGTCAAGTTCACCCATGACCAGCTGATGCGAAGGTTTGGAGAGCAGCCTGCAAGCTGTGAGTGTATATTTTTGCTGTTAAACATTTCTGTCATATTAGCGATAGCTATGGTATTTGCCTCTTCAGGTTAAAGTGCATAATAAGTAGTTAATATTAAAATACAATATAAAAGGAAACTTGCTTTTCATGGCAGAGCTCTTGTCAGAGTCTGTGTACATTTATGCTTTATCAGCAGTTACACAGCTTCTTGGTGCATGTTTACATTTTCACAGCAGACTGAAGCTGTCTGAGCTAAATGGAAGTATAATGATGTGAGGCTGAACTGTCTAAAATGACAAAGTATTTGCTGCAGTAGACTGTGCAGCCTTTTCAGTGTGCCCAGGCATATCAGCCTATGCTGATAAAAGCCTCAGAGTCTAGCCAACATGAATGAAATTCAAATCGTTGATGATGTTTTAGCTTCTTAGCTATTTGTGTGAAGGAAGAACTCACATTTTAAGCGGTAGCAACCAGAACTAGGCTGCATGTTAGTGCTCGCTCATTTTTCCAGAATTTGGTTACAACTGACACATAGTGACTCATTTTCTATATTCAGGTGCTGCAGAAGTGGTGCAGTGTTTGGTGGGGATGTCATTCAAACAGCCCACCAATCTAAAACGGCAAACCGCTGATATAACTGTGATCGAATAAAGAGGAACTGGACTTTGCGATATTTATTTAAACTTCTTCATCTGCAAACATCTCTCAAAACCTACTTTTGAAAAATGTTTCTGGTGCATAAACTGTATATAAATATTCAGTCCCTCCTTGTTCACCGAACCCCTTTATTGAGGGGAAAGCCTGCAATATTTGCCCCCCTTAGTGGTGCTGGTGACTTTTCCACATCTGCTGTGTGGATTGTGATCAGTTGATCAGTTTCTTGTAGACGTGGTAGGGCTTGACTTATTTATTGACAGGTTGCTGTAGGCTATTTGCAGATGTATCAGTATTTGTATTTATTAATGGCCAGTAAATGGTAGGGGGTAAAAGCAGTAGAGACAGGGCAAACACCCTTCAACCATGTTATGAATATTGACTTTGCATAGTTTGTCCACAAGAGGGCGCTCTGCAACTTCCATGATCACAATGTGTGTTTGCGAACACAACAGCCAATCCTGTACTGGTCAGGCTTTTATTATTAGCTTAATCATTTACAAACATGCTACAATTACTTTTTTCCACAAATAAAAATTCATAGAAAACAAAGAAATCTGTGAAATCTGTTTTTTGCATGTTAATATAGAAGATGTTAAATTAAAAGTAATATTGAAAAGTAAATTTTTAAAAACAAAATGCAAACAAAATTTTGAGCTCTAGTTTGGTTTTTCCATGCTGAATACCAGTTATGAAGTTTTCAGTGCAAACATTTGTAGCTGAACTTTTGTTAAACTGTCTTATTAAGACAGACAGTTCCTGTCTGCCATCTCATATGTGTAATCGTTTATTCCTTTTTTCCTTCCATAGATGTTTCCTGAGGTCGGCGCCCAAATGGAGTACCATTTACTGCAAACTAATCCAGGGCCTCACTGGGTCTAGTTGGACTTTTCTCCTAGCTGTGCCATATCGCCTCTATGTGGACTCTCTGCCTCAGGCATCAGTTAGTGGCACTGATGTTTGCTGTTGCCTCCAGAGTTTGGAGGGCGCCCTGCTGCCTTCATGTCTGAGGACCCGCTGTGGCTCCACCCGTGGCCTCTCCACTGCCGCATCGATATTTATTTGGCGTTGTTCTGATGCCTTTGTGAAAGGCTGACTGCCACCACTCATTTGACCTTTGATTTCACTTTATTTTTTATCATATTGAGTGGTTCCACAGAGAGGATGTTACTGTCGCGGCTTTTCTGTATGTACTTTTTTGAAAAAAGGAATGGCTGAAGGCAGCTTTCAGACTGACTTGAGGAACAGTTGTCTTGGCTTGTTTCAACATAGTTTAAACTGTACTGGTGATTACTGCTTTTACACTTGTATACACTGTATATTTTTATTTTTTTGCTTGATGTGTGTCCATTGTACCATAATTTCATGGTTTTATTTGCTGTAGGTATAAAGGGGCTTTGATTCAAGAAAATCAAACAAATAAAAGTCTTTACACAAATGTTAATTTTAGATTGTGGGTTGTTTGGGGGGGAGGGGGGGTTGTGTTTGTTTGTTTTCTAGCCATTCACCCTTTCTATCACTTGGTAATGGGCTTTGCCATTGTGATTTGTTACTTGGGGGTAGTTGTTGCTCATCTCCCAGGCCACAACCACACTCAAGTAATTCATAAAATTCATACAAATCAACTACTAACTGAAAGGTTGGTGGTTCAGTCCCTCCCTGCTCCAGTCTGTATCCCAAAGTATTCTTGGGCTAGATACTGAGGCAAGTTGATCCAAATGTGTTCATCAGAGTGTGAATGTTAGAAAGCCCTTTATTTAGAAATGGTGGTTGTGTGAATGGGGCATGTTGTACAAAGCGCTTTGAGTAGAAAAGTGCTATATAAACTGCTGTCCATTTACCATTTATGTAGTTGTTGCATTAAACGCTTATATAAAAATCAACTTGATGTTTGTTAAGATAAAAATTTTGGGGGACTAATTTATTGATTCACATATAAACAAGGAGCCCCAGGCCTCCAAAAAGTACTCATGTCATATTAGTGTTTTGGTATGTTCATTTATAATTACTGGTCATTCATACGTTCTGTAAATGTATTTAAGGCTTGGGGCAATAGCATTCATTAGGATAATAAATGTGAACGCTTAACACAAAATGACAATATTCAGCTGAAAAGTTTTTTTGTTTTTTAAAATAAAATTCGGCCCTTATATTCTGATAAGAGCCATAAAAATTGCAAAGCTTGCAGTACAGTAGCAGAAAGCTTAAGTAAAAAGAAAATTACATTTGGTAATGAAAAAAGTAAAATCACTGTGATGCAGGGATTATTGAATCATTGTATGTTTATATAGTAGTTATGGTGGGGTATTCCATGCTTGAATTTAACGCATCAATTTGACATTGGTCTTGTTTATATACATCAAGTTCAGAAAAAAAGCATAAATTTTGACTTTGAAAATCACGCAGAAGCCCTGATATTGATCGGATGTTATCTCCTCGGTAATTCAAAGATGAGAAGACTCGAAAAATAGAGAAGTGTAATTACCCAACTTCTCCTTCCAGAGATGGTATTTGGAATAGATCACGAACTTTCCAGTAATCTGCGGGACTATTTTTCCTCCATATTTCTAACTTTCATACCTCCTGTTAAAGGTCATTTAAAATCACCAAAGATCTCGATTATCAATAAATTTAAGAAACAGTACAAATATAACTTAATCTTTCCCTCAATCTTTTTAGTGAGGATTTATATATTTTTCGACTCGTTACTTATGGAAAAAAGTTTTTCTAAGCTTTAAAGCTGCATTTAATGAAGTCACGTGAGTCCTCGAGCCAATTGGACCCTCTGTGTTACCAGGGAAAACACTTGACTCAAGCTCCATTCAACGGCTCTTGTTTTAGGACTTGCTCAAGTGCACAGATTTTATCCAGGGACTTGAACTTTTGTCTCTTGTAGTCAATAAAAAGCTACAATTAATAATAATAAAACGTTTCTTTCCGCAGGAGCGTTGTTGGTCATTTTTAAATTCACCAGCTCCCTCGTTTTAAGATGGCTGGCGATGATAAAACTAACCGCAGTCATACTGTCCGCCCTTTCACCTCCACTTTAATTTGACTTTTTCTCCTCTCCATGCCATAATAGGACCGGGAGCAGCCTAGAACAAATTCGAACAAACCCTTTCTTTTATTTACGCTATTTTCTAAAGCGAAGCCTGTGATTGGCCGAGGAAATCGGAAGTAGTAGCAGTAATGCGGAAGTGCAGTAGCAATGTGTCAATGTGAAAGCACCCTGCAAGGGTTTTTTTTTAAATTTTATGCATAAAGGTTAAGTTAAGGTTTTGTTCGTGTGTTTAGAAAACATGGCTTGCTTTTTCAGGAGAAAAATCGCGGAGAAGGTAATGCGGCTGGGAGTCTCAGATTTTCACAAACCTGTGTGCTAATGCTATCATGTTTTGACCCTGCAGGGCTGTGATTGAACACTTACAATGTTTATCTGGTGTTGTGTTTTAATGTCTAGCTGGGTAGAGCGCTGCAGCAATCAGAGGATGTTTTTATTCCAGTTCTGACAGCAGTTCCAGTCCTGAAGAAACAGTTAAGTCTGTTTGTGTCGCTCACTGCTAACCTGTAGGATGCTATAAGTATGTTTTGTCCTCTCACCTGTTTGTCAGAGACTTTAAAAAAAGTTGTGATCCTCAGGCAGGGAGCCGATTTCAGGCTTTTAATTGGAACACTGAGAGCCAGTGGGATTTTACCATCCAGTGGAGACGTTCAGGTGCAGACAGAAAACTTGGCCACTCAGGTGAGATTAAACCACCCTTAGACAGTCACCATTCCTCTTCACGTGTAATTCCACCGCATGTATATATTTTTGGTGGAGGTCATGGTAATACCCGCGGCTTAAAGTGAGGCCCTTAAAGAAATTGTTTGCTCCAGGCAAAGAAGCTAAAGAAGCAGACTGGTTTAACCTGAAGCCTAACCTGTGACATGAACTGTAAGACTGTGACAGGCTGAGCTGCCTGTAGCCCAAGCTCTCACTGCTTGTGATCTATTTCATTCCTCATTGTTCCAAACAGGCCAGTCTTTCAGCTTCATGTGCATCAGTTCATCAGTTTCTTTAAGCACCGCAACCATGTGTTTATGACAGTTGGACATTGCACGACAGTCATATAATTGTATAATCTGTTCCTACAGATTATACAATTAATCTTCCTCAATTCAATGAGTTCTAGTTTGTGTTTGTCTCATATACATTAGATGAAGCTTTAATTTGTTTTTAGTAGGTAATTCACACTTGATCTTTCAGTTGAAGCAGGACAATGTGGTGGAACACATCTCAGCTGCACGTGGAATTATCAACTTTAAAGTTAATCGCAAGCTTCTTGCTCAGGTTTGAGTTTCCACTCACACAGTGACAGCTTAAGCAAACAAAACAAAATGAAACAAAAAACTTCCACAGCTTCTGCTGTGATCACAGTCCCTCTCCACTTTATCTGTTCCAGAAATTGTTGGAGCCATTTGGAAATGGGGAGGATGATAAATTCGGGTTAAATAGTGAACTTTTCAATACTCTCACAACAGGAACGACGTTAGTGGAGTACAGGTAAGTGTGTTTTTCAGTTTTATTTATGTGGCGATAAATTTAAATGTGGCCTCTTTGTTAAAACGGGGGAAGGATTCTGTATGTCTCCCCCTTATTTTAACATACACCCCCTGGCTATGTAATTAGGTATGCTTGTTCAACTGCTCATTAGTGTAAACATCTAATCAGCCAATCACATTACAACAACTCAGTGCATTTAGCCATGTGAACATGGCCAAGGAAACCTATGGAAGTTAAACCTAAGTGTACGAATGCGGCAGCATAATAACACAGCTTGTCACAAAGCTCAAATTATCTCAAACTGGTCCCTTGAACATGACGGTGAGTTCACTGAAATGCCCTCCACAGTCACTGAACTCAATCTAATAGAGCAGATTTGGGATGTGGTAGAACAACATGGATGTGCAGCTGACAAATCTTTAACAACTCTGTCATGTCATTACTTAAATATGGACCAAACTCCCTGAGGAATTGTATCCAGCGCCTTATTCTTTTGAATAAGAAAAAGTGGCTAATGTAGCTATTGAGTGTATTCATTTCCACTTAACAGACAGAGTTGATATGTTGATATGCTTACAGCTCTCCAAACATTGCCAAAAAATTCCATGCTGGACACTTGCGGTCCACAATAATTGGTGAGTATAAACTAAACTGATAATAATAATAATAATAATAATAATAATAATAATAGTACAATTATTATTAACTGAAATGCATGTGAGCTACATATTAAATTGAGCCTTACCAATGAACTTATTACTGATTACAGAAATGTGCACAAAAGGGTTTATAATGATTTTTATTTTGTCATTTTGAGCAACAAATTTAGTTTTTTTAACCGTGAGTCTGCACAGTTTTACCTTTAATTATCAGGAAATCTTCAAAATATTTATATTGTTAGCTTGAAGAAGAAAATTAAGACCTGATGTGTCATTACTAGATTTTCAAATTCTTAAATATCAAATAGTTTTTCAGCAAGTGTAAAAAAACTATAAACTCTATCTTCAGGTAACTTCATTGCTAACCTTAAACAGTCACTTGGAAATGATGTCATTCGAATGAACTACCTTGGAGACTGGGGGATGCAGTTTGGTGAGTTGGTCAGAAAATTACTCTACAGTGAGGGATTATCTTTTGTTTGTTTGTTTGTTTGTTTATTAAAACGTCAAGGACAAGTAACCTGTCTTGGATTTCAGGTTTGCTGGGAGCTGGATTTGAGCAATTTGGAAGTCCGGAAAAATTAAAACAGAATCCCTTACAGCATTTGTTCGAAGTGAGTTTGGATGTTCGGAGAAGGACCCGATAGATGCTCTCTGACTCTCAAATTTATATTTAAGCACTGAATGAGCCTCAGTTGCATGTTTAGAAGATGTTGTTTTTGTGTTATATTCTAAATGCTGTTTAAAAAGGCATTTTTAAACAGCACCAGTGGTTTTTTTTCTTTTTTCTTTTGCTTTGCAGGTTTATGTTCGAGTAAACAAAGAAGCAGAGAACAATGAGAATATGAAACAGGCTGCCAGAGACTTCTTTAGACAGCTGGAGCAGCACGAGAGCCATGCTGTCTCCTTATGGCAGCAGTTCAGAGACATCACAGTGAAGGAGTATCAGGACATTTATGAGGTTAGAAAGCTGCCTGACAGCTTGGTAACAGCTTGAGTCTCTAAAGATAGAAACTTGAAATGAGAAATAAAAAATTTTAACAGTTGACTGCCACGGAGCACGACTGAGATTGATTTAAAATCTCTCCAGCGGTTGGGGGTCCACTTCGACGTTTACAGCGGGGAGTCCTTTCACCAGGATCAGGCCCAGCAGGTGATGCAGCAGCTGCAGAGCCGGGGCCTGCTGAAGACATCTGAGTATGTGACCACCTTCGATTGGTAACTGGTGTGTCTAACACCAAGTAA